AATAGCGTCTAGAGCACGTGAATGGACCCGTTAGTGAGTGAAAAGTCTGTGTTCTTAAATTTTAGTTTCTGTGATTTTTCTTGTTTCTACAAATATTTTCTTGTTTTGATTTTGTTCAAATACGTTTTGAGACCAATAAATACAAACAGAACCTACTATTGTATTAAGAGGAAATAAACCCGCAAAGAATACACGAGGAATCCATGCATAAGTCAATAAATTAGAGAAGATAATCCACTTTAAGAGATTAAGATATATAATTGTAAAGTAATATGAGTCATATTTCGAGGCTAGACTCCTAACTTGGTTAGAATTGGAGGAGCTAGGATTGTATAGCTGTTGGGGCAAATTTCATAAAATTTTAATTGTGGGCAAAATTGAATATTATAAGGAATTTGTTGAAAGTCTTGTGCAAAATCTTGGATTTAAAACTGTAAATCCGCCACTGCATTTACAAATAGCTTCTATTTGTAAATGTATGTATATACAGGTAAAATGTTAATATTTGTGGTTCCATCTTAAAATGTCGAACTTATTAAGAGGAGTAACTCAATCCTTTATAAATTGGTCTATGTTTTCATCTTTATTCGATGTGAGATTTTTATCCCTTAACATGTTCTCGCAAGATGGTGACTCATTTTGAGCAGACCAATCTTACTCAATCCTTTATAAATTGGTCTATGTTTTCATCTTTATTCGATGTGAGATTTTTATCCCTTAACATACCCCCAAGATGGTGGCTCATTTTGAGCAGATCAATCTTGAAATTCGTATGCTTATTTTTTTGAATTTTAATCTGATCGAATTGCTCGTTTGAATTTAATGGACTCTGATACCATGTTGAGATTTGTGGTTCCATCTTAAAATGTCAACTTTATTAACATGAGTAACTCAATCCTTTATAAATTGGTCTATGTTTTCATTTTTATTCGATGTGAGATTTTTATCCCTTAACATACCCCCAAGATTGTGGCTCATTTTAAGCAGATCAATCTTGAAATCCGTGTGCTTATTTTTTTGAATTTTAATCTAATCGAATTACTCGTTTGAACTTAATGGACTCTGATACCATGTTGAGATTTGTGGTTCCATCTTAAAAGGTCAACTTTATTAACATGAGTAACTCAGTCCTTTATAAATTGACCTATATTTTTATCTTTATTCGATGTGGGATTTTTATCCCTTAACATAAAATTGGTTAAATGAATGAAGATTGTGGATGATTCTAAGAAAGATAACTGCGATTCATTTAACATATGATGTGGAAAACACAACTCATTACCTTACACTTCAACATTTTATCCAAAATAGACTACTATCTATATGGTCCACATGGTGGCATTTGTTTGATTTAGACCGTTGGTTTCATGATCATAAATCCCAGGTTTCAATTATTTTAATTTTTATTATGATTGATTATTTAGTCATTTTTATGATTTTTTAAGAATGTGATGACCAAGTGAGCAATTTTGATTAACTCTTGGATTCTTATTATGGGAGCCGCTCATTCGGCCACGTTTTATTAAAAGTTAATATATTGTGAGATTTATCTTTTATTTTTTTATTTTTATTTAAACAGTATTCGTACGCGAATCAACGGTTTGTGATTACATTTCCTTGGGTTCCCACCGCATTGGCGTACATCATTTGATAATTACACTATAAATGGAGTTGATCCATGTGCAACCTGTTCAAACTGTCTTAAGACTTTAGTAGTTATGCAGAAAATGCACTTTGATACATACAACGAGAGACTGGCAACGATTGTAATATTTTCGATACCGATTTTTAGACCTATACTAATATGTTGTGTGTAAAGGACAGAGAGAAGTCTGTGAAGTTTATGAACACACAAATGCTAATATGAATCATAACGTAAGACAGATGAAATGTGGGTTGAGACTTGTTGTCCACGTTTTCCTTTACACACTCTAATTTTGACATACCACTACATCATATTGTGTTAACAAATAGTAAGATTGTATATTATATTAAAAGTGATCACTTTCGAAATATAATCCCGCTATTTGTTAACACTATCGACAACAGTATAGTGTCAAAATTCTAGTGAAGTGATGAGAGAGCACATCTCAACTCATGAGTTACAAAATTGGTTTTTCTAGTATTTAATTTCAAGTTTTCGGACTAGTTAAGTTTTCCTTTAAGTTCATTGGCCTAACCATCTGCCCTCCTATATTTATGTTTTGTTTTTCGTTTTCAATTTCAATAAATAGGTAAATATACGCTTATAGCATGATTTGAATTTTTTTTTTTTTTTTCAATTGCAATAAAAAGAAGAAAAATATCCCATGGGGGAGCCTGACGCAAAATGGTCCGGATTTATCTGGAGTCCAAATCCACACAATTTATAGGTCCATTTTTGCATCCAGATGGGTTCCATCCAATCAAAACAACCTTCATGTTCGTGGCGACATATATAAATTCAGCAACAAATTAGGCTGAGTCTTAATTGCTAGTATGAACCCTATAGACAAATTTATGTACATACAATTGATTGGTTGTATTTGACTACAAAAAGATAATAAACTCTTCCTACTAATTAGACCTTTGTCAGTATAATTTTCGTATTGTTTAATTCAAACAAATTTAACTATCTGCCTTTTAGCCTCCAAGTGTTGGTTCTTCTCGGTTCGAGTTTCACTGCGTCTCTGTAAATGAAATGCAAGATAAATTTCAATAGATGGGTTAGGTTGTTGGGGGTGGGATGGGAGGTAACACTTGCTCGTAAGCCATTACATACCTCCTACCTTGTACAATGGAGATAGATGGGATGCATATTGAGCACTTTCTTCTTATGCATCATTACTTTCCCTAATAGTTGATGTATTGGCCAATTGAATGGTGAACTTTATAACCATACCTACGTACAAGAGAAAATATTTGGCGGAGGGTACTCAACCATTTAGGTGCCGTTCTCTTTGTG